TGCATGCATACATACTTGCATGCATGCATATCTGCATAGCGACCTACCGGCCGAGTTTCTGCCGGTGCCGGCCAGCCGGCAGAGGGACCGACGGACCGACCGACCACCCACTGAGAGACCTACTTGCCTACATTGCATTCTTTCGCATACGTGCGCATTACATCATTACAGACTTGGACACACATACATGCATGTGCGGTGCCGCATCTTGGCTCTGACCTGTGTGCACCGGGAGTGCGGAGTGGTAGTCTTGGATGTTAGGGGGAAGGTTAGGAAAGAACATCTGCAGCCTAAGCAATGGAGCTTCAGCGTGCTACTAGTGCTAGTAGTGGTATTTGCCGTTGGGATGCATGGACAAGCTTTAATAATGATTGCAGCTTGCGACTTTCCATTTTCGAGACATGGATATGTGGGAATTCTGAGATAGTCTGCTCTGTCGCTCCATGGCCAAGCGATGGAGGTTCCCACAGCCAGTCGTGCCGCAATTGTCCTAGATGAGGACTTTGATGTCGACGTGCCCTTGAAGATTGTAGGCCTGAAAGCAGCATCTCACCTGAACGAGAAGGCCTGCTACATTCACAAATTCAACAACAACACTCAGAGATATGAGGTGAAGCTTGTGGAATCAGGACAGATCAAAAGCGTGCAGCCGGCGAATCTGCAGCCTTTATCTGGCGTCGACGAAGTCGCGGCTTGGGCCCAGCTGCTGCACCGACAGGATTTGGAGGCGCACGAAGGACTCGTTCCTCTGAATCGCCTGGAGAAGCTGCACATCACCGTTGAGATTCTGACGCAGACACAGGTCGGGAAGATCGTGAACGAGTTCGCAAAGCGGTTCATGCAAAGTGATGCCAGCATGAAGGCACGGCAGCTTGTGTCCGCCTGGCGCGTGAGCTTCGCAAAGCAGAAGGAAGAGGTGGAGAAGTCCACTCCTCGCGGGAAGGCCGGGCCTGCGGCAGGGCAGGGCCAGGGCTTCGAGAAGCAAAGCGACGGGAGGCAGACGCGGAACAAGGCCACGTGGGCCAAGGCCTTTGCGGCCGAGAAGAAGAGCTCGGAAGCGCCTTCCGCCGCGTCGCGGCGCGCCGCCGCGTCCGCCGCGCCTGCCCAAGGCCCAGGCCCGGGAGGCGACAAGAGCGACTCCTTCTCCCAAGGGGCGACCGGAGGAGGGGCGAAAAGCGCTGCCAAGAGCGGCCCGTCTTCAAAAGACGGGGCTTTTGCTGCGGCGGTGCCAGTGAAGAAAATGTCAAGTCCGCAGGACGCCAAAGGTCTCTTGGAAGCGATGCGCACTGCCAGCACGGCAGAGGCCCGATTGGGCACCCTCGCGGCGTTAAACCAGTCGCCTAAACATTGCATGCACCAATTTGTCAAGGACGGCGGCCTGGAGATCTTGGAGAAGTGGCTGCGAAAGAACCCTGAAGCACGATATACCTGTCTCCTCGTTCTGCAAAGGCTTCCTGTAGCTCTGCAGAATCTTCAGAAACCCAAACTGATCGATTCCGTGACCGAGATCTTTGAGAAGGACGAGGAGGAGAACTCAAAGCAAGCCGAAGCCGTCCTGGCCCGATGGAGGTCCGCCGGCTTCCTTCCGAAGCTTCCAGAGGAGCAGCCGACGTCGAATCGCCAGCTTCCAGGACACGAGACCTGGGCGCCGGAAGTCCCCGGGCCCGGCCCCGCCGCGCCCGCCGTGCCGGCCGCGCCGGCCGCGCCGGTGGTGCCCCTTCTTCCCGTCACCGAAGTCCAAGAGAGCGGGAACGCACAGCCCACCGAGGTGCACGCGCCGAGGACCCCGCCGCTGAGCGAGCTGCCGGCGGCTCGGCCGGAAGACATCCCACCGGAACTGAGGAACCTCGATCGTCGCATCGCTTTGGTCTTGATGCAGAAACCGCACATGCTTGAGTTTCTGAAGAAGCATCCATCCGTCTTTGCAAACATGAATGTAGACAGCCTGGCCTACATCGGGCGCAATCTCAAGAATGCGCGCAGCTCTCTGCAAGCACAGGACAGCAGCGACGCCACAGGCCGCACCGTTCCTTGGCCTGTATAGGGACATCATTAATCTAGAATCTAGTGACCCTTCTGGTGTTGCTTTAAGCTCGCGTTTTTTTTGGGGGGGGGGGGGGGNNGGGGGGGGGGGGGGGGGGAGCCTCTAAGCCTTGACAACAGGAGTTGAGAGTAGGACGAGCCTTCCGGATCGAAGCAGGTGACCATCTCAAACCTTACCGAGCTCACGACTGAGAAAGACATCGTGGATTTCTTCGCGGACGTCCAGCTGCAGGCTCAGAAAGTGGACCTTCCGCGCGAGAGCCGACGGAAGCGGCCATGTGGCACTGCCTTTGTGGTGTTCCTCGGCATCAAGGGAGCTGGCGTTAGCTGCTTGCTTCTCACTTTTTCTTCTGTGTTTCCGAGGCTTCCTTCGTCGGAGCAAGCATCGTTGGCAGTGTCGACGCTCAACGGTCAGCTCTTAAACGGGAAGAGCGTGTCCGTGGAGTTGGTGGACGGCTCCCTGGACGACAGCGAGGGCGAGGGCGAGGGCGGTGAGGGTGGTGAGGGTAATGGAGCTGATGGTTCTCGAGGATCCAAGCGTGTTCGTTGGCGCGACGACGACGAGCTCTGGCAGGTCGTGGTCTTCTCACCCAAGGAGACCGTCCATGAGCTGCAGCAAAGGATCGAGAAGCAGGACTTCGCACCACCGAGTGCCAAGGTTGCGAAACACTCCACAACACACACTGCAAGTTTCGAGGCCGCAAGACGGGTGGAAGCAGAGCTGGAGAGGCAACATGCCCCCAAGGCATTGGCCAGCAGTGGCGTCTACGTCTCACTTGCGGGCTGAGTCCACTGGACAGTCTCGCGAACGAAAGCGGCGGGGCTTTTCGAGAAGTTTGAGGGGCGTACAGGGAGAAGAGGACCCCACGCAAATGCGGCCAGGTGCCTTGGCAGCAGCGCCCTTCCGCTCCCCTGCCTCTAACGACTTCGCCACTGCTCCGATGCTTCTTGGCACGCCAAGCACCGCTGGCCAGGGCCTGAGAGCGAAGCGAGGCGGAGCGGCTAGCGGGTTTGCACCGTATGCTCTAGACTCTAGACACAAGAGTATGTATGTCGTCACACACATCTTGTCTGTATGTATGTATATATATATACACACATACATACACACGTTATATCGAGACCTCGAGAGAGCCACTGGTTAATTGAAATCAGGCTTGAGTGCCACCTTCCAGGCGGGACATGCGCTCCGCAGCTCAGCCGGCATATCGCATGAGAATTGGGGGTGATGAACCGGAGGCCAGCAAGGCAGGAAATCTTTGGGCGGCGGTCGTGAGCGAGGCCCATCCGCGGTTGCACAAAAAGGGGCTCAGGGCTGTGGCTTGGCGCTCCACCCATTTTTTTGAGGCGAATGCCGCTCTTGTGACAGTGGCCACGGCGAAAGCCGCCAACATGTGGGCGTCGGAAGCTCAGAGTCCGACCTGGCTTCGGCGGAGGATGTATACCACGTATGTATACATGTTACACACCACGTATGTGTGAGGGTAGATTGATGGATGGAGAAAGCCGTCTATGTTATCTATATATATATAATATACATCTTTCGATCTACCGATCTAGCTTCCCGTCCATACTGGGAGTAAGCATAGTGAGGAACACACGGGGTGCCCGTGAGGTACGGAGCGCTGACGTGCCGCAAGAGCCAGGAGGCTCTCCGGAATGCACAAGGGCTGAAGCTGGTGTGGAGCGCCAGCAACGCCAGGCCATCTCCGGAATGACCTTGATGACGCTGTCCCTCACAGGCTGTGCTTTGCCTGCTGCCCAGAGTAGTGGGGCCGAGGCAAAGGACATGCACGGATGCACGGCTGTACGGATGCACGCCCTTGGAAAAAGCTGCCGGTGTTGTTTCCTGTCGCGGCTCAAGAGTTAGAAAGATCCAAGCTCCTGGCAGTTCAGCGATTTTGGAAGGGGACCTCTCACCGAGTCTCTCTTCGTTGCACAGCTTCACATTTTCTCGACTCCTTGAGGATGAAGCTCCTGCGGCCCGGCCCAATTTTAAAGGGGGGCTCAGAAGTTGTAGTTTTTTTGTTTCTGCTGTGAAAGAGGCCTTTCTTTTCTTTGCAGTGTCGGAGCTTCCAGGCGGACGCTTGCTGTGCTCCTGCTGCTGCCGGCAGCCGTGGTCGCTCAGGTCAGAGGGTCGCGGTTTTGCTCCCGGAGCCTCCTCAGCCGGCTTTTAGAAGCCGCTAGCTAGCCTCGGAAGGAGGATGAGGAGGACCCAGGCGGGCGGCGGGCTGCGACTGACTCGCCGTTTTGGCAGCCATGCTGGAGCCACAAGTACCTAGTAGCCAGGAATCCCCAAAAAGATGTTGGGAATCCTAGAAAAGCCCATGCAGATGCCCCGCCGGACTTCGATGAGCTGCTGGGTGAGATCGACGAGAACAAGGCCCCCGCATGGCAGTTATGCTCAAAATTGATCCATGCGGTGGGTCTGGTCCCAGAGTCAGAGTCTTGCCAGGATGGCAAGATCTCGTGGGAGGAGATGTTCGGAAGCCGGAGTGCCAAGTCTGCTCTGGGGCTGGGGAGGGGTCGCTTCCCTGAAGCTGAGGTGATGCAGATGTCCCAGATGGAGAGGACAGCAGCAGCGTCCTAGAGAGTGTGTAGGCGTGAGGCTCCGCTTTCCGCATGCCGGTTCCCAGGAGGGCATGCCCGCAGACATCAAGGAGAAGTACCAAGCGGTATACAAGGACCCGCAAACGGTGTAGCGCAGCGGCTTTTCATCTTCCAGTCTCCGAGGAATGCGATTCCGACGGCGACGGCCTCATCAATCGCGAGGACTGCCAGACGTGTATACCTATATTGCATTATTCCACGTCCAAGGCGATGATTCCAATGATCTATCTGGGGGCTTACATGCAGATTGCATGAAATGTCACCTCGGGGCGGAATGGGCGGATTTCTGCGGTGAGGAGCTGCCGACGCTCTTCAGCAAGCTGACAGCCATGGAGGACCCCTCTGGAGCCATCGAGTCGAAATCCGATAAGCCTGCCAAATTGGCAGGAAGAAGAGGGCATGCACGATGAGAAGGATGAAGTCTGAGACCCCTTAGTGCCTTAGTGCATTGGATGCTAAAGCTTCGCAAGGCCGAAGTGCTAGGCTCCTCTGATCATTGCGGCTCTAAGAGCTGCGTGGAGATAGGCCCCCAGTTCCCAAGAGGGACGGGACCCCGAAGGTCTTTCCCATCAGTTTCGGAAGGCCCGCCATAACCAGAAGCGAATCGCTTCGACTTAGAGGAAAGAGGGATCTGATCTCTTCAAGGGCTGCATTTAGGGGCGGAAGACTGCAGCTGCACCTGAGGCCATACAGCACGAACCTGAAGCTCTTCGTGCGCCGCTCACTTCCCGAGATAGGTTCAGCTTCTTCGCACTGGCTTTCACGCAGCACTAGTGCAGGTCTATGTCGAGGATGAGAACCTCATGGGGGATGGCACTTTGTCAATGCTGGCTGTGCCGGTGTCGATGCTAAGCCGAGCATTCGAACACACTGTCCCCGCTCTCTGCTCCGCGCTTTGCTGCGCTGCGCTGTCAGGTCCCAGGCTCCAGCACCTTTACCAGTGGACCCAGCATCAGCGGCACGCCGGGAGCCCAGCGGATTTGAAAGCGCACTTTGGCGGCAGCCTGAAGGCGCGGGCTGCTCTTTGAGGCCGACCAACACGGACGTGAGCTTCGACTACACGGTGGCCCACGACGCCGGAGCCACGATCGGCCGGGGAACCAGAGAGCTGTCTCTTGAAGCAGATCTTCCCCGTAGCTCCTGGAATGGGGAGGCTTGATCTGGGCCTCTGTCGGCACGCCTGCGGCTGCTGCAGCCCTGGACCTCGTCTCTGTGAAGGCCCGGCTTGCGAGAGCTGTGCACCTGGTGGCGCCTCTCTCGCAACTCCGAACTCCCTGGCAGCTCGCGACGGGGATGATCTGTGGCGTCTCCGGCAAGGCAAAAGTGACTCTTTTTTCCCGGGGCGGACAGAGAGCCCCGGGCGAGAGAGTCTCAGGCCATTTCCACCGGCGCACTCTCGGAGACTCTCACAGGCAGCCGCCCCCCTTGGGGGCAGCGCTCGTCGCAACTCGCGGTTTTTAGGCGCGACGCTGCTCCGCTGCTCCGCGTGTCAGGGGCCGAAGGCTGCAGCCTGGAGCGGGGGATCGAGCGGGAGCCCGAGCAGATCCCGCCTGGAGTGCGAGTCAGTGCGAGATCGATTGCGAGTCAGTGCCTCTACCGAGATATCATCTGGTGGTCTATGTCGAGTCCTCCGGGAACACCGGAACTCTGGCGGCGCCGGTGCCCTTCACCGCCCGATGCTGAGCTTCAGAGTTTCAGGACGATGGCGACGTATGGCGATGATGAGTCACAAAATCAAGTCATGACAACGGCCCCTGGCTGCTAAATTGCACGCGTCGGGTTTGCTCGGGGGGGAAAACATTACAACTTTTTTGCACTCGCGACCAAATAGAAAACCCTAATGCCCGAAACTTCCTTAAACTCACGATAATTGCCTAAAAATCCAAATGCCTGGCACCAAACGCTAGAGATGAGAGATAGAAGCAAATAAGTGCCATGAGGGATTGATGAGCATCGCTTTGAACAGAGTTAAATGCGGTAGCTCTCACCATTTTTTTTCGAGCATCCTGCCGCACTCGACCAATTTTATCCCAAGAGGGCGAACCCCCCCTGCGGTGGCTCTCGCCACTTATTACGAGCCTCCTACCCACCCAACCCACTTTCACCCACTTTTTTTGATACCCAAAGGTGTCTGGTTGCATTGTTCAACGCCCAATGCAGGCCATCAGTTTTCCGGATGGCTAGGCTCTCGCTTGGAGTCGAAAAGAAGGTAGGGCCACTGTGGCTCCAGCCATTTGCTCTTGCACTGCCCGGTAAAGTCATTGTTGTACGGTGGAAAGTTAAAACAGGAAATGTAAACTTCATCGAGAGCACGAACGTTTCAATTATGATATTAAAGATTCAAATTAAAAAGCGGTTTTACAAGAATATATCTCCAATCATTTTACAATAATAACTTTCCAAAAAATAATCAAAATGATTTTCAAAAAGACTTTTTCACAAAAACATTTTCATCAAGTGCAAACAAGTTGCAACAATAATTTTTACAACGAAATTTCTTCAATCAAAACTGTCCAAAAGACAGTTTTCCACACCAAAAAATAACTTTCCTTCGACAAAGGAACTTTCCAAAAAATAAAGTTCACCAAAACACACTTCATTTAAACATCGCCTTGCTCCTCTACCTGCGATTCAGCACCTCACCAGGCCCTGGCCCAAACACCATATCCGACGAACATCCGAAGCACCTCCGACTCCAACGCATATGATGCAAAATGAGTCAAAGCTGTCAAACGTTGCCATTCGCACCCGTTCGCACCCCAGCATCGTTCGCGGTGAAGCTGTGATTAAAGCGTTAATCCATGACGTGATTGCCCCTCAACCCTAAGGCCATGAGCCCTGCTGTTCCTGTGGTCTTGCCTCTATTAAACCTCATACAATCCTAGCTCCACCTCACGCTGAAGCTCAGAGCTTTCGGTCTGGAATCTCAATTCTTGCAGCAGTGATTTCCAATTGCATTCCGAAGCGGCCGAAGCCGCTGGGGCTGGAGCGATTCCGGCGAAAGATGAAGAACGACTGGATGGATGATGCAGGCATTGGGGTGATCTGTTCTCTTTGTTAAGCCGAACCCGCCATACTACTCCTAAAGCCTCTACTTATATAAGCCTTCAAAACAGTTTTTTTGTAGAGAGCCGGTGGGCGCTTTCTGCTGCACAACGAGAGATCAGACGGGAGACCGAGAGAATTGCAATGGTTGATCTTTGAAGCTACCGGAGCTGCGGCTTTTTTTTTGTGCGGAGAGCACTGCAGAGCACAGCCTTCAGAGAGTGCCAGTGCCGTGAATGCGCCCAGGTGCCGACCTCCAACAGCTTCACCTCCGCCCCAGCCCCGGCGTGGTCCAGCTTCAAAGATAAAGCCTTCTCCGACGTTTGCCTGCCCAGGACCTGCAGGCGTCGAACGCGACGTCGGAAGGCCGGGCTTGCTAAATTGTCCTTGCTTGCCAGCTTGCTGCCACCCGCCCACCATTCCGCGTGATGAAGGGAGAGCTTAGAGCTTTGTGCTTCTCGTGGAACTCTCCAGGTGTGGACATCCACTTTACCGCGCAACAGAACGGGAAAGCCTGGGGCGTCGTGGCTCACCTGCCTCGCTTTCAGACTTCGCAGTGACACGATGGGCGATGTCCATGTGTTTGATGCGATTCCGGGCAGGTCGAAGCAGCGAACGTGGCCTCGGTGAACGTGGGCACCATCAAAGCTGGCACAGGCCGGCAATCCCGGCAGACTGTCAACAGACGACTGCCGCAGCTCTGAGTCTTTCAGGTGCCTATGGTGGCGTCTGCTTGGTGGCGGACCAGGCGGGACTCTGCTCCGAGGGCTCAGAGATCCCTTTGATCGCTCCGAGGCGATCACCGCGGGAACCATGGAGACCATGTCATTCACCGGCTGCTCCCTGGCCCTGCCCCTGAGATGAGATTAGGGTGTTGGCCAAGCATGAGTATTCAGGTCATGGCCGCAACCTACAAAGCTTTCGTCTACGTGGAGGCTCTTTTTGAGTCATACGTGGGCTGATCTTCACTTGCTGGCGTGATGTGAGGATGGCAGTGGCCTGGGTGACGGCAGCCTCTCCGGGGCCGTGGATGTGGTGCTCCCCGCGTCCAACATGTTCCAGATCATGCCGTATGAGCTCAGGCTGCCTCGCGATGCAAAAAGTCGAAGCACGGAGCGTTTTCAGCTCGAGATCGCTCGGCCAGGACGCCTTTCCCGACCAGCATCAGCCATTCCTTTGCCCCAGCCTATGACGGAAAAGTCTGGGCTTGGCGCCCGGAGAGTCACTCGCGCTCTCTCTCTCTCTCTCTCTCTCTCTCTCTCTCTCGGTGACGTTTTTTCCCCGACTCCCGTCATTTTGAGGCGATGCTCACCCTCAGCACAGGCTCCCGCACGCCTGCGGAGATCAAGGCCCGACTGGCTGAGCCAGCGAGAAGCCAAGCCGGTGAAAGCAGACTCTCCCTGGCCCAGGCCCTGCACATGGCCCGTGGGGGCGCCACCTGCAACGTGCAGGGTGCGGACGTCTTCCAAGGGATGGAATTCGAGATCGGCAACTTCACGGCCACACCACCGGGCTGCGCACTCACGGCGGGGCAGAGCTACACGCTCCACGTCTACGTGGAGGACCGCCTTAAATGAAGGGCAACCCCCCGCACTAGAGACGTGTAGATGGCTACGGGCTCGGAGGATGACAAGGGCAACAATGACGGCACCGTGGCCACGGTCATGGCCAATGTCCGGGAACCCAAGTGCGGAGCAGGACATCGAAGATGGAACTTCGCTTCGCTTCCTCCCTGCCGCGCTGAGGTGGTCCCGGCCACCGCCCCAAACTCCTTCCAGGACGGATAGAATCGGATAGAAACCGAGTCCGACCTGTCTCTGCAAGCTCTCGCGCGAACTGGGCGAGGAGAGCCCCAAGCTGGTCTCGGCGGTCACGGGCGGTGGCTTCGATGTGACGTATCGCCTCGCCCGGGCCCCCCCGAGTGCCCTGACCTGGCCAAGTGCCCAGATGTGCCCAGTTCCGAGGCCATCGCTGGCCGGTTCCATGCCATCGTCACTGCGCAAGGGGCGATGGTCAGCACGAGCCTAGGAGTCCTTCACGCGAATTTCTGTGCCCCTCCGCGCTTTCTTCGCGTTCGGCTAAGGTGTGGCCTCCTTGCTTGCGGGCACAGATGCCGTGGGCGACACGACCTGCAGTGCCTCGGCATCTTTGGTTCTCCTTGTTGGCTTCGCTCGCTCTTTTGCAGACCCAGGCTTTCTGCCAGAGGTTGCGGTCGTGGTGGCGGCAACGACGCTGCAGGCTCGCGGCGAGCTTCGAAAGCGCAGAGTAGCCGACGCTCGTGTTCCCAGACCCAAAGCTTCACGGGCTGCGGACTGCTGGGAGGACCGGGTGCAGGAGGGAGGGGCGTTGGCGTTGCCCTCTGCGCTGCCTCGTGGCAGCGCTTTGAACCGCCGCCGTTGGCTCCAGACGTAGATCTCACGGCAGGCGAATAGAATGAATAGAAGCCATGTCGCAGAAGGATGCGCAAGTGCAGAAGGCCAAGGCACTCCACGATGCCGCAGACCTAGAGACACCGCAGCAAGTCGCTGTGCATCGCTTATAAGTAGAGCGAGAGAAAAACAGCGCGCTGAGGCCATCCGGCAGATGACGGAGCAGACGGAGACTCTGGAGGCTGAGCTTTCCAAGCTCGCCGCGGAGAAGGCCCAAGTGGAGGCGGACCTGGCGACCTCTGCGAACCGTGCCCGGGAGCTCCAGGCACAGCTTCCGCAGAAGGCCCCGCTTGGAACTCAAACCCAAAACCCTCGAATTCGGGCTGAGAGGCTAAGATGAAACAGGCTCTCGTGTGACAGCTCCGCTCATACGTCTTTTTTTTTCTTCGGAGGCCATGGAGCTGAAGCAGCTCGAGGCTCTGGAGCAACAAAAGGAGGCGGAGTACATGAAGATGCTTGAAGCCACCCCCACCTTAGTACAGGTCTTAAAGAAGTGAGGGGCTTCCCAGGGCTTCCCAGGAAGCGCCCTGGCTCTCTCCCCGTTGTCGCGCCTCCTGCCCGTCGATTGCAAAACCCGTCTCACCGAGCCCTGAGCATTCCATGGGCTTTAGCGGACAAAAACGTGGCACCCGGCTAGCCTTCGGTGGAAGCTCTCTGCAGCAGAAGCGCGAAGATCTCTTCTTAGAAGCGCCTGCAGCAGGAACCGACTACGAGCTCTGGGCCTATGCGGATGACATGCCCGGGGGTACCTGGCCAGGGGCTCAATGCAGCACGGTCGCCACGGTCGCCGCGTACTTGAGCCTTTGAGTTGAGAGGCCCACGGGTGCTGCGGCCACGGATGGCACGCTCTTCGGCCCGATGCTCCTCAGCATCCCGCTCTCCAATCGTCGGGGGCCCCTCTGCATCTCAGAGAGAGAGAGCCCCCCCCAAGTGAGATCTTTTGACTCTTCCTGGCCTCGGAGGCCTGGCCGACCCTGCGCAAGTGACCTTCGTCAGCGGCTCCACGGTGACCGTGGAAGTCAACACCACCGCTGCTTTAGGCGCCTGCTTCCGCTTCCCTAATAGCATGTTCACGTCTCTTCGGGCCTTCGCGATCAGGGCACGCCTGGTTGACGGTGTATCCAGCAGCCACCCTGGTGGACGTCGCTGCTGCGTGGGCTGCTGAGGGGTGGTCTGCAGGGAGTGATGGGCGGGCATGCGGCTTTATCCTCAGGAGAAACGTGAGCAATGCCCTGTGCGGCGTGGCTGCCGTGCAGGCTTGTGTGATTCTGGACTTGATTCCTTGCAAGAGTTACCATGAAAAGCTCTGTTCTGCGTTTGGGCGTTAAACCGTGCTCGTCGATTCGCGCGACCTGTCTTTGCGACTTTCTGAACTTGTCCCATGTCTTGACTTGAACCCACGCAAGTCTTCCTACGTGTTGCGTGCGTTGCATGGACTGAGCCATTAGTGCTCCATCATACAAAGTGAAGTGCTTCTAGTCCTATGCGTATCCTCGCGGGGGTGCGCGGAGTGTGCAAGGATGGTCGATGGATGGTTTCAAAAAGTGGTACGGGTATGGTTGTGGGGTACACTCTCACTTTCGCAGCCGTCATGCTTGTATTTCCTCGAGCTGCTGGGCCATGCATTGAGTTCAACTTGTTGGGCTTTCGGGGTCATTCATCCAGTCCCTGGGAGGTCGATTCATCATCCACTGCGGAGCTGTCGACAACCATGTGCGAGCTGGTTGGAGGCTGGTTTTGCAGGTTCAGACGGAGAAGCGCCGTCCTCCTCCTGTGTCTTCCTCCTCTGCTAGGTGTGGAATATCAGGTTGCAATCCTCGTGGAGGAGACGTGGAGAACGGTGTAGTGGCTGTAGTGCATCGCGTTCTCCCCATTCGCCGAATCCTCTTGCCGAATCCTCTCGAAGGATCGCAACGATCGCAATGACGGAGAGCTAACGGTGAGCCGAATCAGCACGTCCGTTCTGCATGCCTTGCTGACTGCAAGAGGTGCTCTCTGGCTCCGTGGTGGGAGCGATTCCTGTCTCGAGCCTTGACTGAGCGGAGATAGTATCTTTCCTGAGAGCTTTTGGGCTAATGCTTGCGCATTCAAGGAACAGCTTCACGATGGCACCGCGCATCTCCAGCTGCTCAGTCGGCAAGCATATCGAAGTGCCCCCTCCTCAAATCTGATCTTGCGAGGCTCCATGACTGCTGCCGGCGTCTGGGTGACGTTCTCGGCCCAAGCCGCCGGGAAAGGCTGGAGCCGCTCATGCTTTTCTTGTGCTAGCAGATTGCGGGTTGCTCTTTCCTCCGTGGGCATCCTTTCGAAATGGCGTACAGCAGTCTGGGCGAAGCGCATGTTCCACGATTTCGTTTCAAACTCGACACCCAAAGCTAGTCCTGAGACCCTGTCGACCTTGAGCCGAGAACCCCATTGCCCTTTGGGCCTGCGATGGCCTGCGGCTCAGGCAACATCTACCTGCTGAAGGACACGGCGCCAGCCTTCGTGGACGTCGTGTCGCTGTCATTGGCTCAGACTCAGAGTTTCTGGCCCAGGGGCCCATCAGAGCAGGTTACCTTGTGCTTCACTAGTTTCTTATGTGTTGGAAGGCTTGTGCGAAAAGAGGCTACACTTTTTCAGGCTGTGGGGTCTCTTTAGGACTTGGGCTTGGGCTGAGGGTCAGGTTCCAAGCTCTGGCTGCGCCGTCTCTTGAGGCGATCTGGGCTTCCAAGCGACCTCATGTGCAGCAAGATGATGATGGTGCGGGGCTCAGAAAGGAGAAAGGGCCTAAAGGGAGCAAGAAAGAGAGGGGAGAGCGGGAGAGAGGAGAGAACAATGGAGAGCTGTCTGCTCTCTGCACCTTCGGGGCTGCTGCGCTCTGGAGGTTTCGGGTGGCGAGCAGAGCGAGGAGCTGTCAAGCTGTGCGCTGACCCACTCCGAGAGCTACAAGGCCGCCTACCTACCGAGCCTCCCCGACGAAGTCAGGGGCCCCGAGTCGCCTGTGGCGCTAAGAGGTCTACGTCTACGTCAGCGACTCCTTGGCGTTGACCGACGGCACACTGCCGGAGCCTCGGAGATAGCCTCCTTGTAGAGAGCCTCTATAGTCTCTCCTCGGAAAGAGGTCGGCAGGCCTGCCGGCGACGGTGGTTCCCGGCGAGTCCAACTACTTCACACAGGCGCAGAGCAGGAGGAACTCCGAGATTCGCTTATGTCAGCGCGATCTCAGGTGCCCCAGCTCTCCGGCGCTCTCACGACCTCTGGCTTCAGTGTCAGCTTCTCTGCCCGGGCCTTTGCAGCCATCCTCTCCCGACGGGGACTCTGCCCCGTGCGTCTTGAAACCTCTGAGGTGGCAACTGAGGGTGTCGCTTGGGTGATCGCCATCCCAGCAGCCGAGGCAGCGTCAGCGGCCCAGGACGGACACGCTAAGTGAATCGCGGGGCCGAATTCCAAGGGCACGAATCGGGCCGACCTGAGCTCAGGTCGGCGACGGCGATGACAGTCACCAGCGGCTACAGCGCCATCTGTCGGGCGCTCTCTGAGCAAAGGGAAAGCGGGGCCCTCACCAGCTGAAGCCGCACCTTGAAGCGAGGCTCCAGCCTGGGTGTGGCGCTGCCGAGCTCCGGAAGCCATGTGCTTGCCGTCACCGGCTGCAGCTTCATTGCCAGCCGGGGTCCCGGCTCAAAAAGCAACTTCGGGGAGGGGGTGGGAAGGTTCCCTGCTTTCAGAAACCCGATTGAGGAAATCCCACTCATGAACTCCTGCAGACCCTTTTTTTTCATGGAGAGCCCAGAAACAAACCGCTGGCCCTGGAAGGTTGGAGCTACGCCGGTCTCGTGTACGTGACAAACCCGGCCGCGGGCCACGACGGCGCTCTCTCTCCTCCGGTGCCGCTTCAAATTACGCCCGGGCTCCCACTTGGAGGTTGAGGATCAATCAATTAAGCTCTCACTTGTGGGTGCACGGTGATCATGATCCCCTGGGCATCTCGGGTCTTGCCGAGGCCCTCCAACGACTTCGCCGTGCTGCCGTACTTAACGGAGGCCGCCTCCCATACGTGCACAATAACTGCAAAGGTCGTAGATCTGCTGTGCCGTGTATGCTCTGGCACGTGACAGACGACAAGCCACCCCAACGTTTTGCGACGGCGCTCCCAAGCAACCTTTGGGCCGACTCCCGCCTTTTGCCTTCGCTCAGCGCCTGATCACTATAGAGCTCGTCCACCGCAGCGAGCAATAAGCGCCCGAGCCATGTGCTATGTGCACCGATTCCCCAAACTTTCCAAAGCATCATTGCGCCAATGCCACAGTGCATAGGGCCACGGGATGTCCAAACCGAGGGGTCACGCATGTCAAGGCCATGATTACATCTCGAGCGCACATGGTCGCCAGAGCATCCATGCCCAAACCGTGATGACGTCCATCTTGAGCGTGTAGGGGTCCGTGCCCAGAACCACAAGTGACAAGTATACATCTCGCGCGCACACCTGTGGGCTGCTAGGCACGGGCTTGGTCATGCATGCAATTGCCACATATGACTGCCTGCCTTGCATTTTGGTTTCGAATGTCCCACTTTCATGTCTTTGCATGCCAAATGCATAGCCTTCGGGCCTTCGGCCCTGTAAGCACTCGTGCACGCGAGGTGCCCACGCCGGACATAGTGAAAGCAAGCTTTATGGGCACGGCGTCCACAGGCACGCCCCCTTCAAGTACGTTTGCTTCCGGTGCTCTGGCAGGAATCATGCAGCGCTCGTGCCTAGAGTCTCACTTAGTATATTGTAGACCAGCATTCCATAGTATAGTATATAGCCTTGCAGAGTATCGTCTCGTATAGTCTGGTCTAGCGCAGGCGAGTATAGCAGAGCAGAGCATGGGAGAGGAGAGTGCCTTTCTAGGGTGCAGTATCTCCCATACATATATTGTACACACACACACAGAGACACAGAGACACAGACACACAGACACACAGACACACAGACACACAGACACACAGACACACAGACACACAGACACACAGACACACAGACACACAGACACACACAGACACACAGACACGCAC